TCAACGTAAGAAGGTAAAAGTCTATATGAAGACCAAGTTGTCTGACCACTCCCCAACAATTGGATAGAAGCAATAATAATAATATGCATTTAGCAACGCACCAGTATAGCAATGGTTCTTTTTGAATGGTAAAACACTTTTTAGCCAAACATCTGATTATATCCCCAGAATATCCCAATGAGGTAGGCAATTATCCTTATTGTTGCTGGTATTTTAACCTTTACATTTATTCTAATGAAATGCTAGCTCTGAGACCTCAGAATAGAGCTAGATGAATAATAATCAAAATGAAGGCTTATCTATTTAGGGAAAAGGCAAAATCGTACTCATGTACATATACAGAACTACACACACTGGACCCTCGAGGCATAGCTCGGGCTATGAATGAAAAGATGGGCATCCTTTGAATCCACTGCACATCTAGGCAGTCGTGCAGCCGCAGTCCACATTCAGCCCCTACTAACAGACCCAAGGGTCCTAGGAGCCCCCTTCACTACCCCATAAAGCCTCAGACTGAGTTGGGGGAGCCAAAGGTAGCCATAAGCACTGGAGCCACCTGCTTTCACGACACAGGTTCAAGAAAATGGAGCTAGTCAGGATCTCTAAGAGAGGAGCTTAGAGGCCATAGTTGAAAACAGCTAATTAGAATGTACCTCCAGGTTTGGAGTCCACAGATCTACAGTGACCCAGCAGAATACAGAGAAGGGGTTCAGCGCAGGAAGTAGTCGGGGTCTTTGCCCTCCCGCCTAAAATCTGATGGGGAGATCGGGGGTTACAGAAAGCCTTCATGAAGGTTTGAAAGCCATCACCTTTAGTTAGCTGACAGTCAGAAACTAGAGGGGTTACTCACTCACAGATGGGATCACCAGGAAAGACCAACACTACTTCTTGGGGAACAATAGAGAACGTAGGCCTACCATGTGGAGGTTCAAGCCAGAGAGAACACCCCGAACCAACCTGAAGACAGCTCTTGGTAAGTGCGGGAGCTTCCTGTCAATCCCAGCTCACAAAGGTTTCCCAGATCATTCTAGTTTCATCTGCTACAGTATTGACAACATCACAGAATTTACAAAACTCCTGAGTGCAAAACTTTTGCTCTTAAGTATAAAGAAAAAAAATAAGTAAAAGCTTAGACATAAGTAATAAAAAAAATAATAATCTTTAAAAATAAGTAAACTAGCATAATTTTTACTTCAAGAAAAATGTTCATCCTACCTACTGACCATACTCAGAAAGCCTCTCTGCCCCCCTGGAAATAAACCAGTAAGGTTTATTGGCCACAGACAGGTAAAAGGGGATGTATTTTTGTGAAGTTCCACCACACACACACACACACACACACACACACACACACACACACACTTGTCAAAGTGTGTGTGGAAAAGCCAGGCCCACAGGACAAATAGAAAAGGGAAGTGCGCCCTCGTGTGGCTATGGCCTGAAAGGTCACTTTCTAGCCACAGGACCTGCACAAGTGACTTCATCTTCAGTCCTCCATAAAACACAAATGTCCACTCTTACGGAGATCCTGAGGATTCAATAAGGAAATTTAAAGCCCCGGTCCCAGTTTATGCCTCAAAGTTCTTGATCAATTGTAACAACTAACATATTTTTTATCACGATTGTGATCATTTGGGCTGGACAGGCTCACCTAGCAGGAAATGGTTCTGCTTTTGACACCTCAGAATTTAACCAAAATGACGACATTTAACCTTGACTTTATTTTGTTCTCTATCGTTACCCTAACCTCACCTACTGAACACTTCAGCCCCACGTCTCATTTACTAGCTCATCACCCCTACAAGAGTAATTAGAAATCAGTGTTAATCAGCCTGTGACGACTTGGCCCATAAATGCCTCATAATTAAATATGAGGCTGGAGGAAAATAACAAGATCCTACCGTTGGATGCTTCTGTGCGGTGGTGAGCATGAGCCTGTGCACTGTCTCACTTACGTCCTCCTTTGTCTGAGGGATGTTTGCTGAATACTTCCAAAAAGAAGGCAGGAGGAGGGAACCTAGGCTGTGGGGCAGCACAAAATGTCATAAACTCAATGGGTTCATGCTATGGCTTGGAAGTGACCCCAGAGACCCATGTATTGCAGACTTGGGAGTCTAATGACCGGGGTCATCTTGAGATACTGTTGGGAGATGTTGGGACCTTCAAGAGGCTGAACCTAATAGAAGAAAGATAAATCACTGCAGGTGGGCCCTTGAAAAGGATACTGGCACCTCAGACCTATCCTTTCTCTCTCTGCTTCCCAGATACTAAGAGGTGAGCAGCTTACTCCATCACCTATCCCATAATATGCTGCCTTTACCATAGTCCCAAAGCAATGGAGCCAACTGATCATGGAACCATGAGCCAGAATAAAGTTTCTCTTTATAAGCTGATTGCCTCAAGTATTTTGTCATAGCAACAGCTGACTAATACACTTAAACAACTGAAATTTTTCTCATAGTTCTGGCTGTTAAAAGCCCAAGATCAAAGAATCTGCTTTATCAGACAATAGTAGAACTCTCTATCTCTGTCTCTCTCTCTGTCGCTGTCTCTATCTGTCTGTCTGTCTCTATCTGTGTCTGTCTGTCTGTCTGTCTCTCTCTCTCTCTCTCTCTCTTCCAGTTGTGGGGCTTGAACTCAGTTCTTGGGTGCTGTCCCTGAGTTCTTTCACTCAAGGCTTTGAGCCACAGTGCCGATCTTCTGGTGGTTAACTGCAGGTAAGAGTCTCATGGACTTTCCTGAGGGCTGGCTTTGAACCAAAATCCTCACATCTCAGTAGCTAAGATTACAGGTTTGAGCTAGGATTATAGGCATGAACCACCGGTGCCTCACCCGACCAAGTACTCTCTAATTGCATCCTCACATGCAGAGAATGAAAGCCCACTGTTGTGTCTTTTGTAGTAAGAATACTAATTACTGGATCAGGAACCTACCCTTGAAAGCTCACTTAATTACTTCTGCACGGACCCTATTTCTAAATACATGCATACTGGGGCTCAGGCTTTAACGTAAGAATAGGACACCAACATTCAGTGCATTCAATTGCTATGTTGTTTTCACAGCCAGTTTCAGTACCCACAATATTGCCTTTGCACCTAAGAACTATTAGAAGGCATCCCTAACTTAGATGAGCGATCTCTAATTAGGTGTAAGATGTCACAGTAGTGTGTAATGATGGATCTGTAAGCTGAATATTACCAAATGAGGGAAGCAAAGCTAATAACTCATCTTTATAGAGTGAAAAGGCCCACAAGTGAGATTCTTGGGTCTCTTCTCAGATACGAGGCTGGGGAAAGTTTTCTGCCACAATCTTGTCAAGCTTCAGAATATGATCTCTAGTCAACAGTAGGGAGCTTGGTCTGGGAAGAGATGGCGAGTCCTGACTGACCTGGTTATACTAGAGGTCTCAGCAGGTGCGGTCCCCATGCTCTTCTCCCACAGGTTCCCGCACGGGGACTAAGTAACATATCATCTTGTTAATGAAGCCTCCCCCGCTCTCTCCCATCTCCACCCTCTGTCTCCTACTGCCTCCCCTCCAATTTAATATTCTCACTGTTGCTTTGCTTCTTTCTTTCTCTCACTTTCTCTCTCCCTTCCACTATCCTCCTCCCACACCCACCTCTGGCATCCAAAAGACTGTGCCTGCCAACAGGGCCCCTGAGCCAAGAGATTGCCAATGTTTTCCAATTCCTAGAAGGTTTTCTTTAAACCTACCGAAGGAAGATTTACAACTGTGTTAGCCTGCGAGCTGGATATTCATCAGCCACAGCAAGAACTGTGAATCCCTGGTTTGGAATACCAATTTCTTTTTATGTCAAAAGTACTTTATGGCTCTTCTCTATGAATAAATCTGATTAAACCCCACTGGACCAGATGGCCATGACTCCACTCTACCATTGGCAGGGGTTTGGGAATCTAACCTCCCAATGGCCTCCCCTCCTGTCCAATATCCCTCTCTTCTGTACTTCTTCCTTCCAATGATGACACCACAATTCATCACAGTCACCCAAGCCTCGGAGTCATCCAACCTCCAAATCCCTATCCTCACTAGTCTTCCCTGTCTCCTCTACATTCAGCTCTGTCACAACAAAAATCCCATAACACATCCAAGGTCTGACCTCTAACTTTACAAGGCATTGTACAGCCTGTTAGACCTTTCACCTTGGTAGCATTTCTAAGTATAAAATATACACAGTTGTAAAATATCCATTTGGCTGAAACCAAATGCCTACCATCAACTGATTGGGAGAAAATTATTTTGAAGTGACTGCTGGACTTCAAATAAAACTACTTCCTGCAATATGCTGGTTCAGATCCATCTGGATTATGATGACCTAAATTGAGACCAAACTGAACAAATGCCACAAAATCAGAATTCCTCTAATCTGAGTCATTGTATATAAGTTCTCTGAGAAAATCCAATTTGCAAAAGGTTTAGTGGGACAAATGCCTGTGACAGAAAAGGAGGAGGAATAGGGAAAGGTAGCATAGCCCTTCAGACCCACATGCATCGAGGACCCCCGAAGGAGAGACTGCAGGAGGAGAATGGGGGAGGGAGACCTCAGACTCACTACAGTGCTGGCAGTTAGACTAAAAGGGATGCAGAGAGACAAAATTGCCCAGTAGAGGAATCCCATATCCTGCAAAACAAATGGGCACCAATGCCCCATGGAGTCGATCATGGGCTTGGAGAAACCATGACCTCCAGAGAAACAGGATGGAGAAGCCTAAAGGCAGCGTCTAGACTCTCAATCCAACCTACCGTGTCTAGCACTAGAACTTTTAAGCAGTCATGTTCTGGGTTTCCATCCACTGTGTTTAAAGCAATGTCGTCTCTGGAATTATTCTTTGCTGTGACTTAATTATGTGTATAAAGTTATATTTAGCTATGGAACACTCAGAGCAGATAACAAGTTAGTTAACCCACCAACACCAGCCTCTTCTCCTAAGTGTGTTAAGTTTTTGCTCCTACTGGTGAAGATTGAATTTTCTCATAGAAATCAATCAATGACAAACTTTTATTTGGAAAATAGAAGTCTATTATTTCATGATTTCATTATTTCAAGTCTATTATTTGATGATTTCCAAAAAGTCAAAGCCGTCTTGAGCTGCCCATACAGTGGCTGTTTAAAGTACTGAGGTCCTCAAATCCAGCAAGAAACTCCTTACAGGGTTAGGTTCTGAGTCCTTTGTGCCATTTGGGTCATTCAATGACTGGATTTAGGCCCAGAAGCCATCCAAAGAGAACCAGCATCGAGCCATTCTTAACTCATACCCAGATGAAACAACTTCCGCAGGAAGGCTGGTCCTCCCCAGTATCCCCTGCAAAAAATAACAGAAGTTATTGGAGACAAAAGAAACTAGGTGACTCCAACCAGCAAGATATTAAAGGCGAAGCCAGGAATTATACTAAGATTTGCTAGCAAGGTAGCAAGAGCCCATACAGCCTGCTTGCATCTTAGCTTGAACACTGACTCCTCCATGAATCCAGACCACTCAGCAAACCTGTAGAAAGCATCTGCCATGTTTAAATTGCTCCTTTCCTTCACTTGTTTATCAATTCCAGAGAGGTCAGAGATTCTCAGTTTCAGCTATTGGCATTCTGGACCAGGTACTTCTTTATTCTGATGGCTGTCCTGTGCACTGCAGTAAGTTTAGCACTATCTCTTGTTTCTGCTCACTAGATGCCAAGAGTTTCACTCCAATTGTAAGAACCAAAATGTCTCCAAATATTGCCAAGTGTCCTCTTGGGGGCAAAACTATCCTTGAGTGAGGAACACTGGCATAGATATCCTGAATCAATCAACCTCATGTAATTTATTTTTTTCTTTCTATCCTCTCTCTCTGTCTGTCTCTCTGTGTCTGTGTCTGTCTCTCTGTCTCTCTCTCGCCATCTCCCCGCCCCCTCTCAGTGATGATCCTGATGCTTAAACTCAGGGTCTGAGCTCTGTCCCTGAGCTTCTTTTTGCTCAAGGCTAATGCTCTCCCACTTGAGCCACAGTACCTCTTCCAGCTTTTTCTAAGTAGATAAGAGATAAGAGTCTCATAGACTTCTCTGCCTGGGCTAGCTTCAAACCAAGATTCTCAGATCTCAGCCTCCTGAGTAGCTAGGACTACAGGTGTAAGGCACACAGCACACAGCTAACTCATGTAATTTGAGTAGAAAGATCACTGTTTTGTTTTGTAACAAAGAGGAATTACTCACTTATATTACTCTATCTATACAGTGCCTACTATCACCTATCCCTGTATGTATCAGCTCAGCCTCCATCTTAGAAGGCAGGCAATATTACTTTCCTTACTTTCCTTTTGCAGAAAATGAAATGGAGAGAGCTGAAGTAAAGTAAAAGCATGATTCAGACACAGGTCAGATTCCAAAGCCTGCTTGTGGTTATTTCTATTTTTTTCCCTGAATAAAGTCAAAGCAACTATAAAATCACAGATGAGAAAGTACTTGATATGGGGAAAGTATGTATTTTATTATTAATAATATCTATCCAACAGCAAAAGAGAGCCAGAACATGCTAAACAGAAGACTTAATCACTGCTAATAATGAAAAGAAGAAGCTACATCCCTTGTACATGGTAGATTGCCACAACTTTTTCTTTACCCAGGGCAGCCCTCTTTCCTAAGTGTGACTGAGGCTTGGCATCCTTTCAGAGTGCCAGTCATCAACTCATAATAAAATAGCACATAATTGGAACCCATTAGCAAATGTTGCTTTAGGTGGAAGCTGGAAGGCTCCTGGAAACAATCACACCTGCACAACTTTGTGCAATGCAGTAAAAGGTGCATCCTCTACACCAGGACAGGTGACACACTCACCTGAGCATCACATTCCAATACAGGAAAGGCATCAGGTCAGCCTTCATGAAGAACATCGAAAGTCGCTCTTTGCTTTGATCGAAGGGGAAAGTTTCCATTGGCTGAGCTCTGTAGTCAAACTCCGCAAGAATCACACGGTTGTAGCCAGTCACCAGTGGACATGATGTGTAGCCATCATACTAAAATTGTAAGAAAGACTGAGCTGGGAAGAAGCTTTTGTCGTTGTTGTATACAGACAGTTCAGAATTTATTTTTTTCTGAAGTTATACTTTTTTTGCATATACTAACATTTTATACTTAAAAATTGTAAATTATGCCAGATACTGGTGGCTCACGCCTATAATCCTAGCTACTCGGTAGGCTGAGATCTGAGGATCGCGGTTCAAAACCAGCCTGGACAAGGAAAGTCCATGAGGCTCTCATCTCCAATTAACCATCAGAAAACCAGAAATGGCGCTATGGCTCAAGTGGTAGAGCACTAACCTTGAGCTGAAGAGCTCAAGGACAGCACCCAGACCCAGAGTTTAAGCCTCACACAGACAAAAAAAAAAAAAGATATAGATTATGTCAGCCAACCACAGTGGCTTACAGCTATAATCCTAGCTACTCAGGAGGCTGAGATCTGAGAATCATTATTCAAAATCAACACAGAGAGAGAAATGCTAGCTCTTATCCCCAATAAACCAGAAAAAATGCCAGAAATGGAGGTGTGTCTTGAGTAGTAGAACATCAGTCTTCAGCACAAAAGCCAAGGAATACTGCAATGCTCTGAGTTCACACACACACACACAAACACACACAAGAAAATATTAAAAAAAATTGTCATTAAAAAATGGCATAAAAGGCTAAAATCAAAATCCTCATATTGGATAAACTAGTGAAATTAGTTTCTACCAAAAACTGTGGGAGAACACTACCTTCACACAGCTTGGGAGGTGGTAATTCTTACTAGGCATACAAACCTTCTTCTTTGGTGTTTGATTCTTCATAATTTGAGAAATTGTTCTGTCGAGTATTCCTGACTGGGCAGCTATAAGAGAAATAGAAAAGTCAGAGAAAAAAAACAAAGCACATTTAGCTTCTCCATGAAAACAGATTTACAAACAACTTTGGTATAAACATGTAAGGAAGACTCCATTCCTCCATCCTTCCTCTAGATTGTAAGTAGAACAATACTCTTCTTACAACTTGAAGACCTGACTCCTAGGAGTACTTCAATTTATCAAAGGCCCACAAAAATGTTTCTCTTGGTTTGAATTGAAAGAGCCAACTCTCTCCAATAGGCTGTAAGATGGCCCTACCTCAACACATTTCCTGTCTTCTTGGGGACTGATGACATCAATTTGTCTGGGTTCCCAGTAGTTTAAGGTCATCCTGACATTTCTGTGTTACTGTTTGCAGGCAACCTAGGTTGGTGGCCTTAGATTTTCTTTCTTTTTTTTTTTTTTTTTTGTCATGGGTCTTGAACTCTGGGCCTGGATTCTGTCCCTCAGCTCTTCAGCTCAAGGTGAGCACTCTACCACTTGAGCCACAGCACCACTTCTGGTTTTCTGGTGGTTAACTGGAGTCTCACGAACTTTTCTGCCCAGGCTGGCTTTCAACCACAATCCTCAGGTCTCAGCCTTCTGAGTAGCTAGGATTACAGGTGCGAGTCATCTGCTCCCGGCTTAGATTTTCCAATCAGGCACAACACTGGGCTTGACTCTCTAAGACACTGCTCTGGTTGAAGCTGGACTAGACAGATATAGATATGTATCTACATTAGTCTTTCCATATTGCATATACTTACTTTTTTCAATGGCAGAGTGGAGACACTGTCTTTTTAATTATGAAAATGTTCAAACTTTGTCATTCTTGTTTCAACTATCCCATTACATGTGCTACTTGTTCTCAAAATATTTTTAGAGGGCTGGGAAGGTGGCTCAGAGGTAGAGTGCTTGCCTTGCATGCATGAGGCCCTGGGTTCGATTCCTCAGCACCACATAAGCAAACAGAAAAAAGCCGGAAGTGGTGCTGTGGCTCAAGTGGTAGAGCACTAGCCTTGAGCTGAAGAGCTGAGGGACAGCGCCCAGGCCCAGAGTTCAGGCCCCACGACCAGACCCAATATATATATATATATATATATATATATATATATTTTAGAGCAGACATCCTAACTACTCACCTGCAAGTATTCCTTGTGTACATCTCTGATGTTTAAAAAATGTTTATAATGCAAGCACATTTTCACATGGAAAAACATTAGCAAGAATTCCTGATATCAACTAATCCCAACCTTTGTTCAATTTTGACTAGTGAAGAGTATCCTTTTAAAGCTATAAGCAGTTTGTGGCTCTGGAGATAGATCTCTAGATCTACTTTTGAGAGAAAATAAGTTATTTTTATACTAAAAAGTGTTCATTCAAGAATAATCCCCAAAATCGGGGTCATAAAAGTTTTCCTGCAAAGAAAACTTTTAGGCCTTGTGGGTCAAGAGGCCTAAAACCAAAGATATTATATAACAAGAGTAAAAAAATCCATTAAAAAAATCTTATTGCTAGAATGCCAAGTATGATAATATTCTGTAATATAGTTTTACTAGTTCTCATTAATAGAATAAGGGAATCTTTATAGAATGAGGACAGTTTCTAGAATGAGAACTAGTCTCCTATCATTGAACTGATGATGAATATTAATCTGTAGAAAGCATTCTGTAGTCAGCTGCAAAAAAAAAAAAGGCAATATACTACATTTTAGCTTAACTTATAGTTGGCTGACACTCAAATCAGAAAAGCAATGAGGTTTATTTGTTTTTATTTTCTAGAATGAAGAAGCTCCAAAAAGTAAGGGATAGCTAGATCTGCTTACAACTATTAAATGACTGTCTTTTCTGTGGGCAAAGTAGTATCTCCAAAGATCATGCTTCCCTGGAGAAAATTTTATTCATCTTTGAGGCCACACAACTGAGGGATCTGCACTGAGAGCATCTGAGGAGGCCCCTGCCCAGGGCATCAAGGTCAATGGAAAAGGAAAGAAGCTGACCAGGGGCACCAATGCTGAGAGCGTAGGCCTGTGAGCCTAGGAAGCAGTCCTCAATGCCCCGCTTGAAAGTGTGCATGTGTACAAGCCAACATGAGTCATGTTTCTTTCCTGTGTGATAATCCTCTTCTATTATGCCCAGGCCTTCAGCAAACTCTGATAAATGCCACTTCCTGTCTTGGCTGTACTGTGGGCAATTAAGGGAAAATCCTGGCACAGAAACAAGCCAAGAAAGAAGCCTGAGCTACAGGAAAGCCACATTCAACACAGTAAGACAGGCTCTCACTCGCAGTTGCTTAGTAGTCTGGACAGAGGGTGGGAGGCAAGTAAACCCAAGGAGGGAAGTATGGAATAAGTGTGGGCGCTGCTTAAGAACACAACACAAATGTAGTAAGAAATGCAGATTTGTCTGGGGAAACCTAGAACAATAGCTATTTAGACATTAAAAATGAGTAAATAGATATCCACACATTGGAATGACAAAGAACGTTCTCTACAGTACTGTTTGAAATAAAATGAGTGCAAATGAAGTAAACTGAGAGTGGACTGTTTTAGTAATTCTGGGGCAATCATATAATAGACTAGATGCTGAAACACATTTGTAAAATACAGCAAGCATATGCTCTACATGGTTGGGGATGAGAGGCAGGTCTTGGAGCAAGACTTTTCACCTAACTTTTTGCTTAATCATATGGAATATTATCTATCTCAAACACTGAATGAAATGTTTGTTCACTGAAAGAGACTAAAAGCTGGATAAGCAGGGCCTCATAGCACAGGCATTTCTACCACAAAAATGCAGTAGGCTTACATTAAGTGAATATCAACTCAAATTACGGCATCTCACACTATTGTATATTACAAAGAGAAAAGGTGTCCTCTTCTGGGGGGGGGGGCGGAAGGGGGAAGGAGGAGACCGTGAACACCAATGATGAAATCCAGCTTTACCAAAGACAAGATAAATTTGATAGGACAAGCCCTGAGGTACTTCCATTGGAGGTATGTAAGTCTCAAGTATCAAAATTCTTGCTGAAACATTTAACTTAAATACGGCCATAAGAAAACATCTGGACAATTCTAAATTGTGAAATAACCTACAAAATAATACAACCTTGAGTTTTAAATGCCCATGTCTGTTAGACGTAGTGATAAATGCCTATACTTCTAGAACTCAGGAGAGAAAGGGAAGAAAATTCAGGATTCAAAACCAGCCTGGGATACATAAAGAGAACTTTTTCAACAAACAACAACAATACAAGACAAATATTATGAATGAAAAAATGGCAGTTTCATGAAATACCTGGTCTAGAATGAAAGAGACCAAAAACCAAGCATGATGGTTCAAGCCTGTAATTCCAACTACTCAGGAGGCTGAGATCGAAGGATCATGGTTTGCAGCCAGCTTAGGCAAAGGACAACAAGACCCTACCTCAAAGTCAAGCCTGATGTGGTGTTATACACTTGTCATCTCAAGTACTCCAAGAGGAGGAAGTAAGAAAACTAAGGACCCAGTTCAGCCCAAAGAAAAGCATGAGACCCTATCAAGAAAACAAACTAAAAGGAAAAATTACCGGCTGCATGGCTCCAGTGGTAGAATACTTGCCTAGCAAGTATGAGTCCCTAAATTCAATCCCCAGTTCTACATACATGTGCACACGCGCACGCACGCGTGCGCACACACACACACACACACACAGATTAGAGTCATAACCAATTTAGTGTGTGTTGTGTCAGGCTGGTGGATTTAAAGCCAGTGGGGTGCCACAAACAATGTTTTCAGGAAAATTCAAACTGGATAGTACTCGGGATGCTTTTTTTTTATGCAATGTTAAATGTCTTGGGCTTGATAGGGATCCTGCAGGAAAGGAAGGAAATGTCCTTTCTACCTCAGAGAAATAGGCTAAAAAGCTAAGTGAAACATTACTTTCATTCAATAACTCAGCCAAAAAGTACACAAAAAGTGATGGAGCAAATATCACAAGATATTAGCAATTGGTTAAGAGCCAAAAGACACATGTGTATTTCTTGTACTCTTTTCCAAGCTTTTCTTTGATTTGAGAGTTTTGAAATTAATAATGAAAACTACCAGCTGGGTGCCAATGGCTGATGCCCATAATCCTACCTACCCAGGAGGCTGAAAGATGAAGATCATGGTTCAAAGCTAGCCTAGACAGGGAAGTCCATGAGTCTCTTACATCCAATTAATCAAAATGTCAGAATTGGAGCTGTGGCTCAAATAGTAGAATATTGGCTCTAAGCAAAAAAAGGTCAAAGGATAGCACCCAGGCTCTGAGTTCAAGCCCCAAGACCATAACAAAAAAAAAGACTTTTAAAAAATGAAAATCTACTTCCAGTAGATTTCCAAGAAAAGTCTCTCTTAATGTTGAAATAGTGAAAGTAACATAATATGTCCTGCATGTATCTAACTCCCACAAAGCACAACACTACCCATCAGCAGGAAGGTCCACATTTCACAGCATCCAAAGACAATTCCTGTCTGCAGAGAACAGAATCTAAAAGGCAATTCTCCCCATCACTGCTAGTGCAGAACAGCAAGGTAAAGAATTTCGTTTTCCAGACTGAGATCTTAATCATGTCCAATCAGGCCATGCTCCACTGTATTTGTCTCAACAGAACAATTTTCTACTCTGCAAACTTCCATTGACTTGCATGCATTTTATGGAAAAACAAATGTTTCCCTTGTTTTTTTAGGTGTTTCAAGCCTAAGAAAAACAACCAACTTGCCTGGCACAAGGGCTATGAATACTAGCGACAAAAGCTTGGCATTGTGAAAAGTAGCAGAATTCCAGAGGGCTCGGTGAAATGCCCTCTTTCTGTTGCCCCTGCCCTGACACCAAGCCCTGGGGACCAGAAAAAGCAGACATGATCATGGGGGTGAGGAAAAGTATTCAAAAGGTAATTCTTCATACAATATTGGGTTCGTTGACAACTTGCTTCTGTCTCAGGCAGGTCAGAGTCATATTTGCCACAAAAGTTTTTTCCATTATTAATGGGATGTTGTTCATAACAAACTTTGGTTGCTGCTAGGATGGTACCTTAGGAAGATGTCAGTTCGAAAGAAAGGGAAGAGGAGCTGGGTGTCCTACCTACTGCAGCAGCAGTCTTCGACGTGGGGAGGTTGGTACAGTCCCCGATCCCAAACACATTCGGGTATTTCTTGTGCTGAAGAGTATCTTTGTCTACATCTACCCAGCCAGCAGCATCAGCCACAGGACTCCTCTTGAGGACGTCAGGAGAACTCATTGGTGGTGTGACATGAAGCATTTCATACTACACAAAAGAGCACCCAAATTTGTATCTTTTCAATATTCATATATCCTATAGCTTTTCCCACACCATTCTTACTCTATGTACTCAATTTTGGCTGCATGGAGCACTATGAAATTAGTGCTCAGACCCTGTCCAACACCTTACCTGGAGAATGGTGATAAACTAAACAGCTGTCAACCTCTGGGTTGACCCGATCTCCCTGAGCCCACGTGAGCTCCTAAGACAATGAGGACCTCGAAGCTTTACAGTAGAACTCACTAATAATCTGAAAGAATCCATTGATGTTTCTATTATTACTAAATTTAAAGGAGTGATATAGCTTGGTTCCTCTGTCTCTGATCCTTAGCTGCCAACTTGTAATGTCTGGTACTTCCCTTTTATTCCAGAAGGAGGTACTCAGAGTCTCTGGAACTTGTAAATGGCATGTAAGAGCTGGTAAGCAAGCAACATTTCCAAATATAGATCATCATTACAAAACACATAAAGAAAAGTGCCAAATCATCCATTTAAAATGAAAAAAATTTTTTTGCCAGTCTTGGGGGTTGAACTCAGGGCCTGGGCACTGTCCCCAAGCTTCTTTTTGTTCAAGGCTAGCACTCTACCACTTGAGCCAGAGCACCACTTCCAGCTTTTTCTGTTTATGTGGTACTGAAGAATCGAACCCAGGGCTTCATGCATGGTAGGCAAGCACTCTACCACTAAGCCACCTTCCCAGCCCTATAATGAACATGTTTTAAGGATGATATGAATGGGGTGTGACTCAAGTGGTAAAGCCTCTGCCTAGCAAGTGCAAGACCATGACTTCATGTGCCAGCAGAAAATGAAAATGAGAAGAAAACTATCTAGCGCTGTGGAGAAGTAGAAAAGGGGCTCAGTACCAGTTTTGCTAAGAAAAGCAGAGGGGAAAGGTATTTTTTTCCAGTCTTAAATTGTTCTTTTTAACTCCCATCTTCAGTCTGCAATCCAAACCCATTAATCAAAATCTCTGTTGGGGAGACCCAGACATCAGGGCATTTTAAAAGTGACTCCAACACAGAGAGGTTTGACAGCCACTGCTTGAAGGCCTTTGATGATCTTTTTCAAAATTCAGTTTTCGAGAGTGGAAATCAAAGAATATCTTCCTTGGAATTCTACAGTTCAAACCTCACAGAAAAGCAATAAGCATTCACTTATCCAAGTCTTACCTACAACCTCAACTATCCAGAAAACAACTGAGAACCAAAGGAAAAAGGAAACAAAGCACATAGTAATTCCCTGCACTCGAGCTAACACACACTTTGCTCACAAAAAGTATGTTCTAGACCCTCATTCACAGTCAATTCATTTTTACCTTACATACAATTTAACAAGTTCAGCTCTACAGTTTTCTAGCCAATAAAAAAGTAAAAACTGCAATTTAAAAGAAGCTAGAGGTGGGCTGGGAAGGGCTCAGTGGTAGAATGCTTGCTTCACATGTATAAGGCCCTGGGTTCGATTCCTTGGCACCACATAAGCAGAAAAAGCCAGAAGTGGTGCTGTGGCTCAAGTGGTAGAGTGCTAGTCTTGAGCTGAAGAGCTGAGGGACAGCGTGCAAGCCCAGAGTTCAGGCCCTATGACCAGCCCGCCCCCCCCCCGCCAAAAAAAAGAAGAAGAAGCAGAGCTGAAGGGACCTTTCCAAAGTCACAACTTCCTAGCAGGTGGAAAGGCCCACATAGAGGGGGGCTGGGAAGGTAGCTCAGTGGTAGAGTGCTTGCCTTGCATGCATGAGGCCCTGGGTTCAATTCCTCAGCAGCACATAAGCAGAAAAGCTGGAAGTGGCACTGTGGCTCAAGTGGTAGAGCGCTAGCCTAGAGCTGAAGATCTGAGGGACAGAGCCCAGGCCCAGAGCTCAGGCCCCATGACCGGCAAAAAAAAAACCACATAGAGGGGAAAAAAATCCTTTGTAAAATGATCACTAACATACAAATTCAGGATGATCAAATGTCACAGGAACACATGAGCCAGAAGGGGCTCCTACTAACCAAATTTGAGACAATTTGAATACCAACATTATTAAAGTATAATGTTACGGTATAATACACTTCTGGGAAAAAATTAAATTCATGAGTTCAAACCAGTTTCTAATTAATTTAACAGCAACAAAAAAATAGCAAAGAGTTAGTACTGACAAATGCCAAGTTCTAATGTTAAATGTGGGTATAATTGTAGAGCTAGAAAAATCACTTTGCAACTGCAATAGTAAGATTAGGTAAGAATCATGAATGGATGCCAAGTATATGGAGAGATTTTAAATAGTAGGATGTTTGTATGGTCTTAAAATATATCCCCCATGGACTTTTTTTATTAATGAGAGAAAATGAACCATATCTTGGACTATATCTTGACTAGTGATCAAAATGAACATCATCAACAGTGAACTAATGAACATTATATATGTACAAATGTGATTCCTAGAAGAACACATTACTTATGCAAATTGTCCAGTCTAGAAGTATAGCCTAAAACTAATCACTAGCAAATAGACAATCCCAAAATGAGGAACATTCTTTTTTTTAAGTGATGAAAGGACAGTTGTATAGTTACAAATGTCAATAAGATAGAAGAAAAAATAAAGTCTGTACAAACATCCCAGACTAAAGGAACCTAAAGAGATACCACAATTAAATGCACTTGTTGACTCTAGACTGCATCCTAAGTGGCGCTGTGGCTCAAGTGGTAGAGCACTCACCTTGAGCTGAAGAGCTGAGGGACAGCGCCCAGACCCAGAGTTCAAGCCCCATGACCGACCCAAAAAAAAAAAAAATTAAGCCGGGCACTGGTGGCTCACGCCTGTAATCCTAGCTACTCAGGAGGCTGAGATCTGAGGATCACGGTTCAAAGCCAGCCCGGGCAGGAGAGACCGTGAGACTCCTATCTCAGATAAACCACCAGAAAACCAGAAGTGGCGCTGTGGCTCAAGTGGTAGAGTGCTGGCCTTGAGCTGAAGAGCTGAGGGACAGCACCCAGGCCCAGAATTCAAGCCCCACAACCAAAAAAAAAAAAAAAATTAGATTGTAGCCTATACTGAAGAGGAGGAAATGACACAAATGTTGTTTAGTCAATCAACAAAATGGTATACAAACAATAAAATATTGTATATGTGCTGAATTAACTGAGCTGATAAATATTGTGGTTTTATAGGAAAATAACCATCTTTAAAAGTTTATCACAAAGTCGTTAGGAATAAAGATGAACAACGTTTGATGCATACAATTTCTCTTTGACAAAAATGGTAAGAATAGAAACATACATGAAAGCATATAAATAGAGAGACCAAATGATAAAGCTAAGCAAATTGTATGCAATTCTATATGTGAATCTAGGGTCTACTCAGTTTTCATTGTACTATTTCTCTAAGTTTGAGGTTATTTCTAAATATTTTAGTTAAGTATAGCCCTGAGTTAGTGACATTTTTAATGATATTTAATGGTGCTCCATTTAAGAAAGGAACGGTGTGTACAATCAATTTGAGAAAGAGCTTGAGCTAGAAAGTGTTAAATTTGACATTTTGATGTTTAGAAGGCTGATTTCCAGTTCACCTAAAATCTTTTTCTTAAATGCTTTATCCTTAAATGCTCAATGAATAAGATGTAGGAGTGTGATGCTTTCTCATTGCCAACACCATTGCCAGAATGGTGTAAAGAAGTATTCCTCTCCAGATGTCCTGCATTTTGTTCTTAATTGTCCTGCCTCTATAAAAGTACTATTCCCACTTCATGGAAGAAGAAACAGAGACATATAAAAGCCCAGCCCATACAACAAAGGTCAGATCTTTCCAAGGAAGGTATTGCTCTACCAGATCCTTATGAAAGACTTTCAGCAGGGCACCAGTGGCTCACACCTGTAATCCTAGCTACTCAGGAGGCTGAGATCTGAGGATCACGGTTCAAAGCCAGCCTGGGCAGGAAATCCTGTGAGACTCATCTCCAATAAACCACTAGAAAACCAGAAGTGGCACTGTGGCTCAAGCGATAGAGTGCCTGCCTTGAGCTGAAGAGTGCAGGGACATTGCCCAAGCCCAGAGTTCAAGCCCCATGACCAACAAAAAAAAGGAAGAAAGAGAGAGAAACAGAGACAGAGAGAGAGAGACAGAGAGAAAGGAAGGAAGGAAGGAAGGAAGGAAAGGAAGGAAGGAAGGGAAGGAGGGAAGGAAGGAAGGAAGGAAGGAAGGAAGGAAGGAAGGAAAGAAGGAAAGACAGACAGACAGACTTTCAAGGATTGCCTTTTATCATGGTTGAAAGATGTTCAAAGACAGCCTTGTCCAATGCCTCTGTGTCACAGGTGAAAGACACCTCTGGTTACTTTTTTCATTTGTTTAGTCAGTTGTGGGGCTTGAACTCTGTCTCTCACCTCTTCAGCTCAAGGAGAGCGCTCTACACTTGAGTCACAGTGCCATTTCCAGTTTTCTGGTGGTTAACTGCAGATGAAGAGTCTCACAGACTTTCCTGCTTGGGCTGGCTTTGAACACTGATCCTCAGATCTCAGCCTCCTCAGTAGCTAGGATTACAGGTATGAGCCACTGGCACCCGACAGCCTCTGGTTACTCTTGAGCTCCCCATAGTGTTGCTTCTTGCTTACAAGCACAAGTTGAGACAATCACCAGATCCTGCTTTTGAAGAGTCTTCCTTCAACTCCCTAGGCAATAACGAAGTATGTTCATTGTGAAGTATGTTTAGCTTCCTGCATAAGCATGTGAGCCCCCCTCGCCTCCCCCTTCCATCTTGCTCTCCCCCACACATTTTGGTCTACCATCTCACCCAATCACTGCCCTCAGGTGCTCACTGCAACCAGCCTTTCTCAGGAAGCAATGGTCGTGGTCGGAGAAGTGGTACCACAGCGTCTACAGCCCAGTGTAGCAGACTAAGCCTCAGGCAGAGAGTTTTACTGTGACACTCACTGAAATCACTTGGGTCTCTCCAGGTTTGTCCAGGTTCTCAAAAACAGCCTCTTGCTTATCAGCTCGAACTTCGATGAGGTTTTGCTTGAAGTTAACAGTGATGTTCCTCTCTTGGATAATCTCCTGAAGGGCATCTGCATACTTCTTAACCCCAAAAATTACTCCCAGAGAACTATTGAAGATGATATTGGCTTTGGATCGCTTCCCAGTCTGAGCAAAAGGAAAGAAGAAAACAACTACCACCAGAGCAATATGCCAGCCATCTCCTTTTTAACCCAGGTACAAATTAAGACACCTGTCCCCCAGAAGACCTTGCCAGCAATTTGCATTGCTGGCAGTGGGTACTTTGTAGCCCACTATGGTGCGGTGATGTGTGTATCGGTCCAATGCCTCCTTATTTGGAGATGGAAATGGCCATTGCTTAGTCAAAGGCGAAAGGTGAAGACTAAGTCTATGTTAAGAAAGATTAGACCGCCAACTGTTTATTCATAGACTTGTTCACCCAATAAATATTTAATGAGGCCTAGAGCTGGTCAGATTCTATTCTAGGCACTGGTGAAGTTCCTGTCCCCTTGGTGTTTGTTCTCGTGTTTGGAACTGGCTAGTATTCTCCCACATGCTAAGACGCTGTGGCACCTGAGAGAACCTTCCTCTCCAGCCATTGAAGACTCGGGAGAAACGAATTATACCAAGGGAATTAATGCTCAGAATGCAAGAAACAGCCGGTCTTCCACTCTTTACTTTATTCTGTTCCTTTTAGGCCTTGCTTGCCTGAATCTCAACATGAGAAGTCTTAAAATGTTTGTGTTAGTCCCCTGTCCCCTGAATCCAGAACTTTTCTCAGAGTCAGAAATGATCACTAAAATTGTCTCCTCAATCACCACCCGACAGGGCTGTTGTGATTTACAGAACTCCAGTGAGGTGTTGGAGCTGCCTGGCCACAACCATCCATTTAACAATTCTTCAGTTTCATCTTTCTCGCCGTTTCTCCCCTTTACAGAATCACAGGCTCCTTCAAGCCCTAGCAGCGTCTCTGGTCAAACAAGGATTTGATAAACAAAATGCCACATCTTAAGACAAGGGAAGGTAAAATCTCACCGCAAGTGGACCTTGTCTGCAGACACAGGCAGTTTGGGGAAAGTTGAGCAGAAAGTGCCTTGTGAAAAATGGCTGCCCTAAAGCTCTCTTTCCATAGAGCTTTGAAGTTCCATGTCAACACTGTGTCTACGTTTCAAACTGGCATTTTGCCTGTATTTGCGTGTGTGTGTGTGTGTGTGTGTGTGTGTGTCATAACCAAGAAAATATATGTGACCTTGAACTTGATTGGAAGCAGTTAAGGATAGTATTGTATATAAAAGTATACAACGAGCAATTAATTATCTAACTATAAAGTATTTAAACACTCTCCAACATATCCCCCCAGCAGATTTTTAGTGTATCTTTAAAAACTATGTCACAGGGACTATTTAATAACATGCAATACATTTAAAATTCTCTTGTACATTATGATTGTGACCATATTTTTTTAAACTGTAGAAGGACATTTCAAATTGATGACAGCAGCTTTATTAAAGGAGACACCTAACGTATGCAATATAATAAAAATTTAGAAAAAAAAAAGCATCTGTGATAGGGATGTCAATGAACTTCTATGTGGCCTCACACTATCCTAGAGAGGAGGCTTACCTTCCTGAAGTAGGCCTCTGCTAAATACATGATCTTCTGGGGGGCTCCAGCACACTTCACGGGGGTATTTGGGAAGGTAAAGACGGCATTGCCCTCTTTGAAGTCCTGCAGAGCTTTCCAGGTCTTCTCTACAGTTTTAACTGAATAATTAGACCCTATTTTGGGATGAGCAAAACCTTCAGGTAGGCCTTTAATCTGCAACCAAGCACAGAGAAAACTTTTTTAAGCAACAGCACAGATGCCTTTCTTTGCCAAATATCCCCACGTTATTATTTCTCCCCGGAACTCACACAAAATGGAACAGGCAGGAGAATAAGAGTTCTGTCAAGCTGCTGAACGGGCCCAGTCCACAAAGATCTCTCCCCACCCATTCCCCACCCGCTCCGTGGCCTTGAGGCTGTGATTCAAGTCAAGTTCCCTCCACCTTCAGAGTAAAGGCAAGGTGTCAATCACACTTCCTTTTAGGAGAACTATCTGCCTTACTTGGAAGGAAGAGGATAGGCTAAACCAAGAGCCACTCGTTTATACTGCCAATAATACCAAAACAAACTACTCTCTATCAGGTTGTACCAGATCCAAGCTCTTGGTAAGTGCAGTAAAGTCAGGTAATTAAAAGCATGGACTTTGGAGTCTCACAGAGCTAGCTTGTATCCTGGCTTTTCTACCTAATACTGTTGCGACTAGAAGGAATTATCTATTATTTCTAATCCAATAAGTCTCTAATTGTGGCTACCAGACCAACAACAGTTCCACTTGGAAACTTGCTAGAAATGCATATTTCCAAGCATCACCCTCAATCTACTGAATCAGAAACTGTATGTAGGTTCAGAAATTGCCCTACAGCTGGGCGCCAGTGACTCATGCATGTAATCCTAGTTACTTGAGGATTGGGAGGATTTGAAGCTAGTTTAGATTGGGAGGATTGCTGTTCAAGGCCAGCCCAGACAGCAAAGTGCCCAATACCCTTTCTCAACCAACAGCTGGACATGGTAGAATATACCTGACATCCTAGCTACAATGAGAAGACTAAAATAGGTAGATTGAAGCCCCGATGCATACCAAGTAGGAAGTCAGACCATATTTCAAAAATAACCAGCACAAAAAAGGCTGGAGGCCTGACCCAGTGGTAGAGTGCCTAGCAAGTACAAGGCCCTGAGTTCACACCCCAGGACCAAGGAAGGAAGGAAGGAAAGAAGGAAGGAAGGAGGAAGGGAGGGAGAGAGAGAGGTTTCCTCCTGTTGACTGACACACACTGATAATTTGAGAATATCCGGAAAATGGGGATAAAATAATGAACTTCATAGGACAGGAGCAAATGAGACTTAGGTAAAGGGCTTGGGAAAATGATGTATGATCACAGTAAGAACTCTATGTTAATTACAGCCAGTAAGATTAACTAGACACTTATGCTAAATGTTAGAAGATGCAGAGAACATAATGAAGATGTCACAAGTCAAATTAAATGTAAGCACCAATTCTCAGCAAGAGCAGGTTCAACTCTAACATCAAGAAACAATTATCCGGGGTGGGAGTGTGGCTTAGTGGTAGAGTGCTTGCCTAGTATACATGAAACCCTGGGTTTAATTCCTCAGTACCACATAAACAGAAAAAAACAGAAGTGGTACTGTGGCTCAGATAGTATAGTGCTAGCCTCGAAGAAAAGGAGCTCAGGGCCCAGGCTGGCAAAAGAAAGGAAAGAAAGAAGGGAGAGGGAGGACAGAAGGGAGGACAGGAGGGAGGGAGTTAAAGGAGTTAGGAACTTTATTACCACCGTGCGCAGGGACTGCTTCCTACCACCAGGAAAGTAAGAGAAAGGGTATGGTGTGTTTTTATAGAGGTAGGTTACATAGAGTTACATAGACAAGCCATGCAAGGCTGGTTTGACACATTTTCATTGGTTATGTTCACATGACCTTTAAATTCATTTGTTCTTTATGGTAAATATCATATGTAATAATTTGCATATTATTTAATAATTTAATCATTTGCGTGGGACCACTCGGTGGTGGTCTTTAATTGGTGATCTTAAGGCCCTGTTACTGAGGCAAGCCAGCAAGGTTACAGAAGCAACACATAGCAAAAACATAGCCTTGAGTTCCACGAGCACAGGCAAAACATAATCTTGACTTGGTCAGCATGACCAATACTATCAATGCTATTGACACTATTACAGAAATGATTTTTATCATAAGCTCCTGGCTAATACAGCCACCCAGTGCAGCTGGTAGTAGGCCTCAAGGTTGGCAGTAGCCTTCTGCAAAGCTCCCAGCGTGGTAAACCTGAGTGAGGGAGAGATGTTCTTTTGGTTTTTAGCAAGGATGGAAAAAGAGGCTAAAGCTGACCAGTAGTTAGCCTTTGCTTGAGGTTTTTCTTTACCTAGGGGTTTTATCCTTTATCAATAATTTTGTTCTGGTTTCTGATTTTACATTTTTGTTCTCATGGACATCCTTCTTTTCCAAAGGAAAAGGGATTCAGGGGAGAGAATAAATTTCCAATAGCAGGAAGAACTGAGGCCAGACAATAGGAGGAACTTTCTGCCAGTAAATAGCAACTCAGACATTACAGGGAGGATACTTGAACCTCCCAAAAGCACTTGTGGTTGGCGCCTTTCTCTATCTGAACATTCACATAACACAACCCCAGATACGTCACACTCACCTGGACATGTCATGAATCATGCTTTCTGTACTTAATCTTACGTCAAAGGCCTTTCCTGGGCCTTTTCTGGGATCACATTGCCGCAGTTTGTGAGCTGGTTAGCCCTGTGCTTTATATGCTCAACTACTGACCTACTGTCCCCCAACAAACTTTTGGACATCATAACTACTGGCTTGCTCCATTGAGTTTACAAAAATAAACCTGAAACTCACCGCTGACAACTGGCATTTGGTCCAAGCTCACAGAAAAGAGATCTGAGGCATGTCTATGGCAGTATTTATTCTATATTTGTTCACTACTAGAAAACTCAGAAATTATATGATAAAACTCAGTTGTCCTTCCAGTGTCTGACAAGCTAACTACTTAAGAATTCCTAATCTAGCAGGGTGCTGGTGGCTCACGCCTGTAATCCTAGCTACTCAGGAGGCTGAGATCTGAGGATCATGGTTCAAAAACAGAAAATCAGAAATGGTGCTGTGGCTCAAGTGGTAGAGTGCTTGCGTTGAGCTGAAGAGCTGAGGGACAGCACCCAGCCCAGAGTTCAAGCCCCATAACTAACATAACTGAACATATACATACATACATACATACATACAGTCTTAATCTTTAATACAACCAACTCAGTTCAATGTAGAAAGGTGAATTTTCTATTAGTGCATAAAGACCTGTTGTTGTGCATGGACATGTTGAATTCCAATTCAAGTTTAAAGCTAAATGTTGCTACTATCAATGGAATTTTAGAAAAGACTTGTATATATGTGTATGTATGTGTATATATATATATATATATATATATATATACCACAAAAGGACTGCTGAGAAATAAAGCTAGGAGAGGATTTTTTAAAAACACTTTCTTGTCAGAATGAATGTATAGCAACCAAATGCAGTGTCTGATCTTGGCAAAAATAGGCCAATGTAACATATGAACCACTTTATACAGTACCTTCTCATAGTCCAGCTGGATTCCAAGAGCAATAATAAGATATTTGTAGGAGATCTGCAACACAAAAAGATGTTGTTTTTAGACCAGGATTTAAAAGCAACACTTCCAGGACTGACAGTGGCCCCAGATGTGTGTCAATAGTGCCATGCACCTATGCTTCAATGTGAATGTCTTGGGGAGGAGGGTAGTGGGCAGGGCAAGCGGGAGGGATGAATGCTCCAGTTGGCCATCCTACCCCATTTTCTATGGTCTCACAAGTGCTCAGTACTCACAAATACTATGTAACCAGTCCCCTCTCCAAAGGCTTAGGGTGCTTGCCTATTTTTGTTTATATAGTGGAGAGTAATAAAAAAGATGTGATTATTTGTGCAATAAACTTTTTTTATATTGAAAGGTGGGAAAATGAACTTCTAATGTTAAAAGACAGTCAACTAAATAAGGCATGGTGACACATGCCTGTAATCTCAGCACTCAGGGAATGGGGATGGCTAAAGCAGGAGGATCAGGAGAAGAGTTTAATGTCAACCCAGGCTAAATGATGAAAAACTGTCTCAAAATGAAACAAGCAAATGAACAACAACAAAAACAAAACTCACAAGATAAGCTGGCAAGGTGGTTCATGCCTATGATCCACTCAGAAAACCAGAAGTGGTACTGTAGCTCATGGGTTAAAGTGCTAGCCTTGAGCTGAAGAGCTGAGGGACAATGCCCAGGCCCAGAGTTCAAGCCCCGTGACCGACAAAAAAAAGAAAAAGAAAAAAATGGATATGGTAGCATATTCTATCATCTCAGTTATGTAGGAAGCATATATAGAAAGATAATTAAACTGACATGTTAAATTGAAACTCCTTTGAACAACTAAAAGACAATTAAATAAAGTCTGAGATAGATTGATAACTAGCTAGCTAGCTAGCTAGCTAGCCAGATAGATAGATAGATAGATAGATTCATACATACATACATAGATAACAAGCAAAAAGGACTCAGAGAGTAGAGCACCTGCCTAGCAAACACATGGACTTGAGTTGGAAAAGAGGCTGTAAAATAAAAGAATAAGCCTTAAAAACTAATGATGAAGAATGATTACAATACAACTCAGGAGCCCAGTAAGGAGAAATAGGTACTGTTTACCATGCTGTTGTACTGAAGGGGGAAGCAGAGCCAGAAAGTTGAGCAAATCCCAGGTGAAGAGAGAGGACTCCAAGACATGAGAGTGTTCGGTCCACCTAGGGAGTGAGGGAAGCAAGTCACGGGAGAGACCTGATCCTAGCAGCCAGGAGTTTCAGCTCCAAGGACACAAGGCTTTCTGCAACTCACTTTCACCATGGGCCCTTCCGGAAGCTCCCTTAGCTATCCTTCCCCCAATATGGAACATTCCTAGAGTATAAAGTCACATCTTATTCCTTATATTCCAAGATGCTATCATAGTTGTAGATTGAAGTGAGGATTCAGTAATGTGCATTGGATAAAAGGATGGGCAATTTCAGATTATAAAAAAATACAATTTCTCAAAATGGATAGATAATAAACACATCTTTATCTGGACACTCTGCCTATCCACAGAGAACTGGTGCCTTGAAACATTCAGCTCCATAGGGAAGTAGGCCCAATGCATAGAGGACTGAATGGTGTGCAGGCCTGTGGATGGGTATGGATGGGGAAGAGGGGTCTGAGGATGAGGATCTAGAGGTGGCAGCAATGCTGTCAATGAAAAGAGCTTCTGATTTGTGCAAATTGCAGTGGGTTTTTTTGGTTTTGTTTTTTGGTCAGTCATGGGGCTTGAACTCTGGGCCTGGGTGCTTTCCCTGTGCTCTTCAACTCGAGGCCAGTGCTCTACCGCGTGAGCCACAGGGCCACTTCTGGTTTTCTAGTGGTTTATTGGAGATAAAGAGTCTCACAGAGTTTCCTGCCTGGGCTGGCTTTGAACCATGATCCTCAAATCTCATCCTCCTGAGTAGCTAGGATTACAGGTGTGAGCCACTGGCGCCCTGCTATTGGCTATTGCAGTGGTTTTATCAGAGTATAACACTAGGTGCTAAACACAGACAAGCTTAAGATTGTGGTGGGGAAGCCAGAAAGGAAACAAGCCCTAGATGGCAAGAGAACTAAAGAAAAGCCTCAACCTTCTCACTGAGTTCAACTTTCTAGTCAGATAACCTAAGTCCTAGGAATTGCAAACACTGTAGACAAGATTTTTGAGCAAGTGAAGACATCAGGGCAGACTTAGACAGACAGCTGAAAGACAGTCAATGTGAGACAGACAGGATGCAAAGAGGAATCCTGACAATAAGAAGCTAACAAATAGGTTTTGCTGCTGATTCCTTGCAAAATCCTAAGCTCAGCGACTAACTGGATGTTTCAGTGATCTAGAAAAAAAAATGAGCTTCAACAAGATGCTTATCAGAAATGATAAGCCTGCTTTCAATCAGGGATCAAGAACTGTGCCGTCAAATAGCAGGTACTCAAGGTTTCCTTTTATATGCATTCTTTTAAAAACAATAATGCTATTTCTTGAGCATTTGTCTTGTGCAAGGCAGTGTGTTATGTGTTTCCCATCACTTAATGATCAAAACAACCTAGGTAAGTGTTACATTTACAAATGAAGAAATTGAGATATGGCTGCTCACAAATACTTTCTGGGTACTTTCTATGTGTTAGGTTCTGAGTATGCCAGATAAATAAGATAGACATAATTCTTACCTACACTAGTAGAAAAGATAATATTTTCAGATAATCACAGCCTGGCACCAGTGGCTCACAACCAAAATCCTAGATACACAGGAAATAGATCTGACAGCCAGGGCAGACAAATCTCTGACACTCTTATCTCCCGTTAATCAGCAAAGATCCAGAAGTGGAGGCGTGGCTCAAGGAGAGTGCCCGCCGAGATTAAAAAAGCCAAGCAAGAGCTTGAGCCCTGAATTCAAGCCCTAGTACAGGCACAAATATATATCATACAAATGATTGCAGTAGGCTGAGGTAGCTTGACAAAGTAGAACCTGATCAAGCCTGGTGGGTCAAAGGCTTGGCTCAATTATTAAATATAAGCTAAAGATGAATAGGTGTTAGCTAGGGGTAGAGGTGGGAATGAACATGTGCAAATGTCCTGGGATTAGAAGGAGACAGAAGCATTTGAGAAAATAAGAAGCAAGCATGAAGGAAGGAAGGAATAAAACCAAGTGAAGTCCAAAGGAGGAGGAGGGACCAGTATATACAAAGAGCCTGGGCAGTCAGAGACACTCAGTCCAGTTTGCAGTGGTGGTCTGAATTCCATCTTTCACCTAGTGAATAAGGAGGTGTAAACTGAAAATGGACTGAGTTAGTGAATTGAATAATATTTGCTAAAGAATGCTGATTAACTTCTGTGGTCTAAAAAAAGCTCTCTAAGGACATGTTACAAAATTGAAACCTTGAGCTTAAATGAAGGCATCTGTAGATAACAGCTAAGAAAAATTGCTCGGTGGATGACAAGAATCACAGATCCAAAAGATCCAGACAGGTGGGGAGGGCGAGCTAAAACAAGATGCTAACTCACATAAGATGTTATTTGCTGATTTCTGATCTGTCTATAAGGTACAAATGCATCCTAAAATCCTAGAAGAAAGTCATTAGATTGTAGCAACTTCCTCCTTAAAATTAGACCCTAGAACTTCCCTGGGTCCCTGAGCTTTTGTAATAACAATCAGGCCACATCAAGGACAGCCCCTACTTCGTGCCTCTCATTCTCAAGAGATGAGACAAGGATGTGACAAATACAGGTGAACCTAACCAGGGGAGGCCCTGAGGTGGGTCCTGCAGGACCAAGGGTAAGAAAGGCCTCTTGGCCTGTGAACCAGAAACTGGCAATGTAAACAGCTCCCTAGCCCAGACTGGACTTACGACACAGGAAAATAAAGATGTTCTGAACCATCAGGGGGACAGCAATCTGTACACATTTAACTTTTTAATTAAGATTGTATATTATATTTTATATATAACCTATATGCTACATATATTATATAATTATATATTTTATATATTATAGAGTTATGTATTATGTATTATGTATATAATTACAATCATCTATAACATATTTATAGATATTTACTTCTATGTCTATGCATCCCTTCCTGCCTTCAGGTAAATGACCAGCCATCATTGTGAAGCCTAACGTCACGATGGGTCACATGGAAGGGACTCAGAGAGGAGAAAGGATCTGCATCAGTCCTGTGCTGATTGTCACTGCAAAGGCAGATCTGCAGAGGCAGCATTCGATTGTGAGAGAGAACAGCCTGCTGAATTCTAGATTGTTCTGTAGATACCTTCTCTTTCAGGCCGCTCACTGAGACAGAAAGAAACAAGCCAAATGATGTCCCATGGGGATTAATAGAGGACTGAAGGGACTGGAATCCATGAAAGGTAAGAAAAGGCTGAGGGGTGTGGGAAGAGGGAACAAGTCTACTTGAAAAGAGAACTTACACAGAATGTAAGAAGCCTGTTTAAAGAGTTGCAGGCTCCCCCTCAGAAAACATTTTCTCAGAGTGAGGGCAGAAACAAGGAATTAAGGGCAACAATAGCCTGGAGGCCCAAGAAAGAACAAGGATTAAAAGGAAAGTGGGCCGGTGCCAGTGGCTCACACCTGTAATCCTAGCTACTCAGGAGGCTGAGTTCTGAGGATCTCGGTTCAAAGTCAGCCTGGGCAGGAAAGTCCATGAGACTCTTATCTCCAATAAAAACCACTAGAATACCAGAAGTGGCGCATTGGCTTAAGGGGTAGAGCGCTCGCCTTGAGCTGAAGAGTACAGGGACAGCGCCCAAGCCCAGAGTTCAAGCCCCATGACTGACAAAAAAAAAAAAAAGCAAAGTGGATTGAGACTCAGAAAAAACAAGACTTTCATATAACTTGCCTGTCTAAAACCTGAAGAGGGTTAATTTATTTGCAGATGACTCCCTGGCTGGAGGGTCAGGTCTAAATATCAAGTTATTTTAAGCTGAACGCCCATGGGTCCCATCCCCCTTTATTCAGCTGTATTTTTTTTCATTAATACTCATCCATGTTAATATATTGTATAATTTACTTATTTTTCTATTATTTACTTATCCGTCCTCATCCTCTCGGATATAAAATCTAGGACAGTGAGGGTTTTGCCAGTTTTCATTTATTTACATATCCCAAAGGCCTAAAACTATCCCTAGTTGGAGTAGATGTTTAATATTTGTAGAATGAATGGATAAATGAATGAATGAGTGCAGTCCAGAGAGCCAAAGACAATCAATCCGATAAGACAAGTACTCTTGATGGGGTACAGAAAAAGTCTCCAAAGAATTGTTAGCATAGGCAATTAGGCAAACACGAGCAGGAATGAGGAAATGACCACAGTGATTATGAGGATGGACCTATGTCCTCATGGAGCACCTCCCTATCTTAACTGGGAAGAACACAGAGGATCAAATGTGCAGGCCTATGCCTCTCACACCCAAACAGCTTCGGCAGGGACCAAACTATTTGAGAAGGCCCACAAGACAAGAAGGGCTATCATTCTGCAATGCCTAAAGACTGCAATCCCTGACACCTTCCACAATCGATCTTTACCTGGACTTTCCACTTCCCCCGCCTTGAGTTGTAATTCTGTTTTCCTAATACATCACTCTTTACTAGCTTCATGGTTCTTCTGCTACACCTGGGGGAAATCCTAATCTTAAGTGTTGGATCAAGAACTGTGAAGCCCCTTGAAGTCCCCATCACCATCCACAGAGTGTCCCAACTTGCTGAAATTAAATGCAAAATTTGAAACATATCTGTATTTTCTCTAAAGAGGGTTTTTATAGGGTTCTCAGAAAGATCATGACCCAAGGAAAGCTTAAGAGTACCCATCGCAGAAGAAGGGAAGGGAAACCTTTCAGATCAGTTCTCAGATTCGACAATTCTGTGAAAATGCCTGTTTGAGCGGAGAAGCTTGAGTAACAAGCACCCCAGGGTGGTGAAGGCCCAGCACAACTGACTGCAGCTATTCTGGTCTCCTCTAGAGCCACAGGTAGACTCTGAGCTGGAGGTCTCACTATCTTGGTCTCAACCCCTCAGGCAAATATATGGACAGAGTTGCTTTAAAAAAAAAAAAAAAAGCTTTGAATCCTGGAGTGGTGTGCATGGGAAAGAAGTCATTTATAAATGTTCTAAATGGTGCTGAGCCATGAGGAGCCTCAAATGCTCAAATGCTAGCTGCAAGAATGTCCCATACTACTCCCCAACCTTCCATTAAAGGATTCCCCTCAACTCTGGCACAGCACCCCCTAATGTGAGCCCAGCATATTTCCGCTGTGTGACTCAGAAACAGCAAATAGCTATTCCTTAATACCCCATTCATTCCTTTGGGAGGCCAGATGTGAGGGGGGAAAAAAAGCAGAAAACAAAAACCATGGAAGGTTGGGAAGGTGGCTCAGTGGTAGAGCGCTTGCCTTGCATGCCAGAGGCCCTGGGTTCGATTCCTCAGCACCACATAAGCAAAAAGAAAAAAGCCAGAAGTGACGCTGTGGCAAAAACCACGGAAAACCTGGCTGCTTCAAGGGGAAGAAAAGGAAGGGGATGCCTGTTATTTTAACATGGAGCAATCGTATTTGTTCAATAAACATTCAGGTACAAGATCCTACACTAACCAACAGGGTAAACAATGGGTATTTAACAAGTAGTTATATGGTTGTTTATTGATTAGTTCACTACCACCTGGTCCTGTCATCTATACTCCATTTACCACCTAGCCATCTTGTGCAGTACTCAACATCTCCCCACACAGACACACACAAACACACGGTCTCTATCACCATGAAGCCATCCAACTTGAGAAGGGCAGTGTGCTCATATAAGGTCTCAGTTAAACAAAAAAATCCGAAGGCCCCTCGTGGTTACCTCCTTGTTGTTGTCCATGTAGACACAGTTCTTGTCTGGGTTCAGCTCAACCACTGTAGCTTTGATCCACTCTACACCAGATGGAATCACACTGGCCGTGGGACGGCCGGATAAGGATAATTGTTTGGCCCCAGCACCCACCAGTGTCCAGATTGGCTGGTAGAAATGTCTCTGAAAAACAAAGGATTTGCTTATTTACTTCATCTTGGAGCTGATCTAAAAGATCTCAGTTAAAGGAACAGGTGTCAGATTTTCTTAACTACTCTTAACCCTTAAGCACCACTTAGAAGTATCTCCAAAATGTGAATTCTTATTCCATTAAATGGACAGTCACAAAGCCTTTATAGGGGTCCTCAGAAGTATATGAAGACAACAGGAAGGGAAGTCTGGGAAGTTTGCAGCCACACTTCTTTTTTTAAGCACTAGGCAAGGACTCTACCACTTAAACCATGTCTCAGTCCTTTTTTGCTTTATTTTTCAGATAGAATCTTGCTTTTTGCCCTGGGCTGGTCTCAAACCATGATCCTCTTGTACCTTCCTAGAATTACAGATGCTTACTAGCATGCCTAGATTATTTACTGGGGGTTACTATTTTTACAGGCTGGCTTCAAACCACAGACCTCCCAGTCTTCACCTCCTGAGTTTCTGGGATTACAGTCATGTATCATGTCTGCTTACACAGTCTGGTCCCCAAGCCCATGGAGGAGTTGCAGCCACTTGCAATTAACTCCTCCTTCCCTTCCTCAGGCCAATGGGTACCAGATCCCACTCAAAAACACAAAGCACAGGGCTGGGAAGGTGGCCCAGTGGTAGAGCGCTTGCCTTGCATGCTCAAGGCCCTGGGTTCGATTCCTCAGCATCACATAAGAAAAAAAGAAAAAAGCCGGAAGTGGCACTGTGGCTCAAGTGGTAGAGCGCTAGCCTTGAGCTGAAGAGCTGAGGGACAGTGCCCAGGCCCAGAGTTCAGGCCCCACGACCAGACCCAAAAAAAAAAAAAAAAAAAAACCCACAAAGCACACTCCAACTTTCACTATCTTCTAGAGTTGTCTTGTTTCAGATGCTCCGCTCTTGATCTAAGTTACTCGTGGACATTCTAGGGTCAGGGGGAGAGAGCAGATTGGGTTAGTACTCTCTGAGGACCCACTGAGGGACTGGACCGAGGGATCAACAACTCTCGATATTTCCAAAATGCTCCAAACTGAGTGGCCAGAGCAGCCAAAACTGACAGGGAGAGGAAGAAGATAAAAAAATGGTTTGGTCTCCCTATAGCCAATGATGGATGTAATTATGGAGGAGGGAGGCAGAAGTCCCCAGCTGTGAGAGCTCATCACATTCAAGTCCATCTTGAAGAGGAAGAGGAACAAAAAGACAACTTCAGAATTTGTTCAGATTATCAATAGCTCCAGCAATCACTAAACCAGGTACAGCAAGATAGGTGACTCCAATCATATGGGCTTCCCTGTGGACAGGGCTCACAGGATTCTGGTCCACTGAATTGTTCCGGCAGAAGAGCTAGGCCTACCACAAAATGAAGCACTGCTGGGAAGCCAGCCATGAATTCACCACAATATAAAATGCACTAGAGAGGACAGCACCTGATACAGCTCCCAGGCCACTGTTGTTTAATGTGGCATGCTTGAGTTGAAAAGAAGTCTCTTTTAAAACAAAAAACAAAAAGACAATGCTGGGCACTGGTAGCTCACACCTATAATCCTAGCTAGTCAGGAGGGTGAGATCTGAGGATCATGGTTCAAAGCCAGCCCAGGCAGGAAAGTCCATGAGACTCTTATCTCCAATAAATCACGAGAAAACAGGAAATGGTGCTGTGGCTCAAGTGTTAGAGCGCTAGCCTTGAGCTGAAGAGCTGAGGGACAGCACCTAAGCCCAGAGTCTAAGCCCCATGACCAACCAAAAAAAAAAAAAGTGACAGGGGCTAGAGTTGTGACTAGATGGTAGGAAGCTTGTTATGCATGTCCAAGACCCACATTTTAAGTCATAGCACGATAAAAATAAAGAAGATTACAGAAAATGTCCCTTTGTCTCTCCTTTGCCATACGACCTTGGATGACCTCATTCCTGTTGGAGAGACATCTTCTCTTTCTTATCCAACCCTCCCCCTCAAAACAGACACTATCTCCACTTTGCTTTCTCCTCCCGAGGAGGCAGATCTCAACTGATGCTCCCCCTAGCTCCTTCCTTGGGAAACACTAGACAACTCACCAAAAGTCAAGAGTATCTTTGAAATGCTTTGATAGAATCTTAAGTGTTCATCTTAAAATGTTTATCGTAGAATGTTTTTCGGAGAACAGCGCCTCACTGGTGTCCCCTCCTTTTCTCCCGTATAAGAAGCTTATGGTTCTCAATTTCCCAGGAGGCTCCTGCCACCCCCCCTTCTTCAGACAGGAGCAAACATGGAAGGACAACACCCATTGGTTCTCCTCTGCACAAGGAGGTGACAGTGGGAGGAGGTCATCCATTAAATCGTGTCTCCCCAAAAACCAGTATGATGAAGGTCCTGTGAAAGTGGCCTTATTTGGAAATACGGTCTTTGCGAATTTAATCAGGTTAAGGTGAGGCCAGACTTGGATAGGTTGCCCCCTAAGTTCCGTAACTGATGACCTTATGAGGAGGACATTGAAGACATGCTGGTACAGAGAGCACCATGTTAAGATATACACACAGCGCATGGATGGACGTTGCTGCGAGCCGAGAAGCAGCAAGATTGCCACCAAGCCAGGAGAAAGCATGGAAGAGATGTCTCTGCCCAAAATCACCATCCCGCCGTCAGAGGAAGCATGGCCCTGTGGAAATTCTCCCTTCAGAACTGTGACAGATGCACAGGTTTTGCTTTACGTCCCCTAGTTTGTTGTCATTTGTTATGGCAGCCCTAAGAAAGCAAAACAGAAGAAAGTACAAAAAGCCAAGCGGTCTGTTTTTTCTCTTTCCTCTCTCCCTCTCCTCTTTCTTTTCCTCCCTCTTCTCTTCCTCCCTTCCTCCCCTCTCATTCCCTCTCTCCTTCCCTCTCTTCCTTGCACTCCCTCTCTCCTCTCTCCTCTTCCCCCCTCCTTCCCTCCACTTTCTCCCCATCCTTTTGGATGGGCGGCTCCTTATTCAGTAAGAAGATATGAGGACATAAAGGCCGGAGCCTGTCAGTCACCCACTACCACACACACATGCATTCAAAAGGGAACCCTTACCTCACTGGGTTCAATGATGGCCACGTTCTCCGCACCCACTTTCCTCTTCATGCGGGAGGCCATGGTGATGCCACCACTACCTCCACCCAGAACAAGCACCTCATAGTAGTTCTTCGCTGCACAGCAGGCCCCCGTGTGCAGCTGGAGGGGTCCAGCCTGCTGAGTGCCCAGCCTGAGAAAATGGGCAAAGAGCCGGGCACGGGGGCTGAACACCACAGAGGCCAATGGGACCATCATCAGGCTGGGTCAGGCTGGAAGGGAACAGAGAAGGTTGTGAGTCACAAGGGAAGACCACTCCAGAACCAGAGGAAGAGAAGGCTGGCACAGGCCCAATGCCAGCTTTACCTACAATCGCCTGGCAAGACTACTTGGCATCCTATGCACTCCAGTGAACATTCAACTAATGTCTAGCTAATGGCAAAGTTTCCATTTCTCCTCTTCTTCTCATTTCCTTAGCTTTTTCAATCCATTACAATGGATGGAAACAGAGACCTTGTAACACTGTATCATACAGGATCCCTGTGACCTTGCTGAAGGAATGAGAGAGAGCCCAGCGAAAGACCCACCTTCAGCCACTCAAAAATTCTGAAGATGGTAATGAGGGCCTCAGTCACCACGCGGAGACCCTGCAGGTCTGCTGGCCCAGAGACAGGCCATTAAATCAAATCACTGGTGACAGATGTGCAAGCAAAGGCCCTCCACACCTTAAGCAATTACAACCAGATATTGAAAGCAAAGCTATAAAAGGAGCCCTACCTGGTCTCATAAAGTTATATTTTATGTAAAGAATCTGCACATGCTTCTGACCAGTCTTATTAATTTAAGTCAGTCAACAGTTTCTCCCTAGTAGCTCCTCTGGGAGACATTAAAGTGTGTTTCTACTCTGAACAGTTGGTGCTTTGGCAGTGGGGGAACTGAGGCTTCTCAAGAGACCAGCCTTTGATGCTGCTGGTCCATAGACCTGTGCTTACATGGAGGACAACACTGACTTGTACAACTTGAGGGCCCAAATCCAAGGCCTCGTCATCTCTGAGCTCCCCCGTGCCTCAAACATCCCTTTCAGTTCTATAGGTTCAACACTGCCCCCAAGAACCTTTTATAAAATTCAAATACCACACAGGGGAGAAATGTTTCTAGCTGTGAAGGTCACTAACTTCTTAATGGGTATGACTTAATTTTATCAGTGCCATAGGGATTAGATACAGCTGACAGGAAAGGAGGCTGTGAAAGGAAGTGAGAAAGACCCCAAGGAGAGGGGGAAAATGATAGGCTATGAGGAAGAAGAACAAGGAATGGCCATTTTAATTAAGACTAACTCCATCCCACAGTTCTGATATCCCTGAGGCTCAATATTCTCCAATATACTGAATCGGAGAAGTGGCCTAGAGCTGGGGCGGGGGCGGTGAGAAGGGAAAGTGTTTGCAGGACCACAGACAGTAAGACAGGCTCATAGGTTCTTACTGCAAGACTGAAATCACTCTACTGTCCTAGAAAATAACAGCTGTGGAAGTGGCACTGTGGCTCAAGTGGTTGAGTGCTCGCCTTGAGCTGAAGAGCTCAGAGACAGTGCCCAGGCCCTGAGTTTAAGCCCCACGACTGATAAAAATAAAAATAACAGCTGTGATATGGAATGGAATAATGTATAACTAATGTAAGCTAATAAATAAGAAAGAAAATAACACTTATCATCTTCTTGATCCTGTGTTTCTATTTTTGAGAGTCAAGTCTCAGGAAGTAACCTCTAATACTGAAGAAGCAAAAACTATTATAACTATTATATAACTATTTCTCATAATATGGTCAAACCTGAGTTGACAGGTTTGTGCATTACTCCTGATTACATCTTGGGACAGAAACAAACAACTGCAGGATCTGCTCAGGCCACAAACAGCTCTGGTTCCTGATCAGAGACAGATTTAGTTTCCTGACTGTTTTAACTGAGGTTAACCTCTATTTCTACTTAATATGGGGACAGAAAGTATTTTTTATCTCAAAATATTGAGAAAAGGTTAAGTAAAGGATGTTACCCAAGATGATTCTTGTAACCTTTTAAAATCATATATAGAAAGAAAAATGCTTACAGTTAAGATACAAATTGATATAAAATATTATATTTAGTATGATATAGTATATTTATTGTAGCATACAACTAAGTAAGAGAAAATGCATCATAATAAAAACAACCAAAATCATCATAGTGGGTAAATCATTTTCTCTGGGTTTGGGAATAATGACTTTTATTTCTCTACCTTTCTGCACAAAAGTTCCTCCTATATATCAATATTTATAATAAAATACTAATTTCAATGACAGTAACTAACATTTCAAGCCCTTTCTGTGAGCACGTGTGTGTGTGTGTGTGTCTGTGTGTGTGTGTGTGTGTGTGTTTTAACTCAGGGTCTTGTGCTCTCACTTGGATTTTCACTCACAGCTGTCACTCTACCTCTTGAGCCACATCTCCAATCCATCTGTAAGCATTTAACTTGTGACTGAGCTACTATCATTGTTCTTATTTTACAGATGATAAAACTGAAGCAGACAACATTTCAAGGATGCTCTAAAAGACACACAGCCTATAAATGGTAGATTAGATCTGATTCCAGGTATTTTGGTATCAGAGCCTCTACTTTCAACTACAACATGATATTATTTCTGTGCTCTTTAGAACAATTATGTATCAGCAATGTGATAGTCTGGATGTTAAATTTCCCCCAGTGGCCCAGGTATTGAAGGCTTGGTCTCCAGTGTGTGATATTATTGGGAGGAAGTGAACCTTTAGGAGGTAAAGCCTAATGGGAGGAAGTTAGGTCATTGGGAATGTACCCTTAAAGTAGACATTGGGATCCTGGTCCCTTTCTCTTCGCTTCTCAGCTGTCATAAAATGAATAGCTCTTTTCTGCCATGAATTCTTGCCTCACCACAGGTCCAAAGCAACAGGGAAGTGACAATGGACCAAACCCTCTGACACGATGTGCTAAAGGAAACTTTTCCTCCTTTAAATTCCCTCTGGAATTCTCTCATAGCATCGGGGGAAAAATGGAGGGAGAACAATATATTTTCTACAACTTTCCAGACACCTAAGTATTAACAATGGTTTTGATGTATCTATTAATGATACTTTTCCTCTCTTTTGTATATACTTACTATCAAGTTTTCTTTAAGAATTCTACATTTCACATTTTAAAATATCCAAATACATTTTAACACTGACTTGTGGAAGGAATCACCGTATATATAGCTGTCTAGTAGGAAATAGGTTAAGTATTTTGTGTTGAACACACAGCTTTCATACCTTAGCTTCCTTTCTAGATGCCGGCAGAATAACAGAATCACTTCCCAGAAAAGGGAAAATATTTTTCTATGTCCTGATACTACCTCTTAGCTCCATGGAAAGAGTTTTGTTTTGTTTTGCTTTGCTTTTAAATAAAGTCAACCTTGGAGAAGAAGAGGCTAAGTTTCTGGCTTGCAGTCAATCCAGCTGCACATTGAGTTATCCGACCTCTTGAAACTTGCACAAATATTTCCCTCAGCCAAGAAGGCTAGTTCTGTCTTCTTTCAGTGGCTATACAAAACGTGTTTCTGGATTCAACCCACATAAACACTCAGTCCTCTTAGCCAGTTTTTTTTAAGGGGGGGGGGATCCACAGTATTTGTTTGTTTATAAGAGAAACTACTCATCAGCCTACATATTGTTTCATAGTTCAGGAACACAGGTCTATCCAAAAAAATTCTTCACATTCCAAATTCACTTTGCATTCTGAAAGATACCAGCCTTCTTCATCTCCTCAAAATCTTTCATGGAATCATAATTTCTGTAGAAATCTGCATATGCCTTATTTCTTGGTTCAGCCATACCAAACTTATAGAGAGCTGAGACCCTCAAAGAGACAATGAATGCTCTAACAATATGAATCCGCAGACGCTTGGCCAGAAGATCCCGCATCTTAAGCTTTGCCAATGTACCAGAAGCCATGGTAGCAATGGACTCTCTTAGCCAGTTTTATCAGCTTCATTAATAACCAACATTCATCCTAAAATCCCCAGCCGTTAAGAGTCCTATTTCACTTTTTGTTAGAGGAAATGTCTCAAATTTCAAGTTAAAAAAAGGCTCAATAACACTCTCATTCTAACATAATGTCATCTAAAAATATAGATCAGAAAACCCAGGATCCTAACCTAACATTGCAGAGGAAGGGAGGCATGAAACAATATTATAGATAAGAAACAGTACACATTGTTTTCACAAACAGCTTTGTTAAATGACAACTCTTTTGTCCAACTACTTAAAAGGTTTTTTTAAAAGAAACAATAATGTATAATGATCATTTTTAAACCTCATTTTGTATTTATGATATAATCAATTTGTCCTTATTCCTCATTCCTAAAACCCTTAAATTATTTTTTCCTGACTGTATGTATTGAGGTGATTCAAGCTGGGTCCAAATTGTGATTAGAGGGTTGGAACTTTGAGCCTCATCCTGACCCTTCAAAAAGAAAGGGGAATAATGGGTTGAATTCTATTACAACCCTGGAATGGTGAATGAGCTCTGAAGAGCTTCCAGGTTGAGGAATGTGCTTTGGTGCTGGGAGAGCGGCATTCCAGAGAGTGGTGTGCCAAAGAGGGAAGGGAAGCTCTGTGTCCCCATACCTTTCATTTGGCCATTCCTGACTTGTAGCCTGTATATGCACAGCACACAACTGGTCATGTTGCAATCCCAGCACTCCTGACTCAGTCAAGAGTTCAAGACCAGCCTAGAGTTCTGGGCTATGTCTTGAGATCCTCTCTCTCTCTCTCTCTCTCCCTCTTTCCCTCCCTCTCTCTCTCTCTCTCTCTCTCTCTCTCTCACACACACACACACACACACAAAACATAAACATGAGTAAGGTGTTTTTGCTGAGTTTTTGTAGTTCCAGATAATTTTCAAATGTGAGAGGATTATTGGAAACTCTGAATCTGTATTAATCAGACACCCATGTGCTTGTTGGGCATCTGAAGTGGGTGCGGCAGTCTTTTAGGACTGAGCCTTGTACCACTTATGGGATCTCTGCTAACTTAGAATAAATATCAAAAATGAACTGTTAGGTGCCCAGTTGGTATAGGAGAACTTGCTGGTATTGGGGGAGAAAACAGACTTTGGTGTTAGAAGTGTTGTCAGAGAACATCACTTGGGAACCAACAGGGATTTCTGGCATTGACATAAACCAAGTCTCTAGCAACACTCAGAAAACCAGACAATCCATGGAAGTGACAGCCATGCAACCTTAACTAGAAGACAGAAAAGAAAAGAAGGGCAAACTTGATCCAAAGTCAGCAGAGAAAACATGGAAACCCTCTGTTAACATAAGGAAGAAACAAGAATCTGCTATAACTTTCAAATTCACCCAGAAGATGCCTGAAATGTATATCCTTCCAGGTGTTTTTGTTTTGTTTTCTTTTTGTCGGTCATGGAGGTTAAACTCTGGGCCTGGGCACAGTCCCTCGGCTCTTCAGCTCAAGGCTAGTGCTCTACCAATCGAGCCACAGTGCCAGTTCCTGAAATGTATATCCTTGTTTAAGAAATAAGAATGAACTACCAGTGGTACAGAAGGATGGAGTAACTTGATCTGTATTCAATAAATAGGACAAAAATTAACTTCCATTTACTAAATAGCACATGCAGTATGTTTTATAATTAAATGATGTCATGCTATAAAGTCAGTTACAAAGCCGGGTGCCAGTGGCTCATGGCCTGCAATCCTAACTACTCAGGAGGCCGAGATCTGAGGATCGTGGTTCAAAGTCAGCCCAGGCAGGAAAGTCCACGAGCCTCTTATCTCTAATTAACCACCAGAAAATCACAAATGGCACTGTGGCTCAAGTGGTAGAGTACCTACCTTGAGCTGAAGAGCTCAAGGACAGCGCCCAGGCCCAGAGTTAAAGCCCCATGACCGACAAAAAAAAAAAAAAAAGTCAGATACAACTTCCTCAGTCATGTACCTTATCAAAGGACCTCAATAAATGCTTTTAGAAATCCACAGTCTAACTAGAAGAATAAAATCCCTGTTGATTGAAAGATTAGGCAGCTACCTTATATAGCTTCCTGGCTGGCTCCCTGCCCAGGTCTGGACAGGTCTTAGGGACTCCACATCTTTCCCCAGCCAGCCTTTCCAGGATAAATAGTTGATGGCCTATGTCAAACGCTGTTCATCTTATGTCACATGACATTCCACTCCGTTGTGAGCAGCTAGGACACCTGGCTGAGTTTAAATAGAGCCGCTATCTACACAAGAATTAGCCACAGCATTCTTAATAAAAGATCCACCAAGCTAGCAAGCTTGTTACCAATTCTTCAGCTATTTTTTTTATTTTGTGGGGAAAAAAGTATTATATGGGTTACGATTGTTTTCTTCCCAAGCCTACTCAAGCCTAGGCTCACTTGGCTTTAGGCTTCAATAACTACAAGACCAACCTTAGAGAATATGTCCAAAATCAAAGATTAACATAGACAACAAACAGCATCTAGCTTTGCTCCCCTGGCTTCCCACCAGACATTAGGTAGACACTTCCTCGGAGCTGTTAGGTCTGGAGCACTGTGGGATGCAGTCCCTGAGGCATAAAAGAACGAGCCTTCAGTGCACTCACCTGGTGCCCACATGGTAGAACTGGGAAACTCTTCAATTAGATCCTCCTCTCAGGCCTTCTGGCCTACTTAAGTATACCTGCCCTCAGGCTACAGAAGAGTTACTTATATACCTCTCAACCAAATGATTTCCACAAAACTTGATCTGATATGGAAAAAGCATAGAGAAACCATTATAATAATAACAGCTAACATTTGTCAGTGTTTACTAGCTGTTGTACTACGGCTCTATGCTTCATAGTTCTGAAAGTAGTATCTCTTTTTTGCAGATGAGAAAAGTAATGCTTAGATTACGTGGTGAGGGAACTTGCCTAAGGTCACTGCTGTGACATGGCCTCAAACCTGAGTGTTGGAAAGTTATTCCCATTGCAACCGTATTGAGAGGCAGAGCCTTTAACAAGTGGTTAAGTCATGAATGGGTTAATGTTATATGGGAGTAGGTTGGAGAAGTGAGCTTGGCCCATTCGTGCTGTGTCTTGTCATGTGATGCTCTCTACTATGTTATAATGAAGCAAGAGGTTCCTCACATCTGTGTGGGTCCCTGGACCTTGGACTTTCCACCAGTCTCTAGAATCTTAATAAATCTCTGCTCTTTGTAAATTATCCAGGTGCAGGCATTCACCCAATTATATTAAACATTTGGGTTTAATTCAAACTGATTCTTCAATAATTCAGGAAAATCTCGACTTTGTGGAATTTTACTTTCATTCAGATTTAAAGTGCTTTGTTTATATCCCAAGGAGTAAGATGAGAGAACATATATGGTATGAAATTTTAGCTAAGTTGAAAGGAAGAAAATCTGGGGACATGGGAGTTGCAATAGAAGTACTTGTGTAATTTTAAGAGGTTTTATCTTTTAGAAATATAGTCATAAACAAGGTATGGTCACACATGTTTATCATTCCAGGTACAGAGAGGAGTCAGAGTAAGGAGGATCTCAAGTTGGACCAAGTTAGCAAGACCCTGTCTTGGAAGAATTGTCTACCTTTAAAATGTTAACTTTGTCCATAAACACACTCGTGGATATACCTAGAATAGCTGATCAAACATCTGATCACCGTATAGCCAATCAAGCTGATAAATATAAAACTAGCCATCATACCCTCTGACTGAAAAAACAGAAGTCAGGTCTAAGTCTGGAAAAGTGAGCAGTTACTTCAGTGCCAAGAAAATGTCAGACACTGGCTCACAAATTCTATGGTCCCTTCTCATGACCTCATCTTAACCCAAAGTACATGCAAGGAATGTTCATGACACTGTTATATTCATGCAATAATATTCATGACCTTGCATTAAACGCTTTGTGAAACTGGGGGTAAAAAAAAACTGGCTGCTTCCTCTTCCTGGAGGTATTTCCAGTCCTCCTGTAATAATCAGGTTTATTTTTTCTTTTTTTGTGTCCGGTTGTGGGGCCTGAACTCTGGGCCTGAGTGCTGTCCCTCAGCTCTTCAGCTCAAGGCTAGCACTCTACCACTTGAGCCACAGCGCCACTTCCGGTTTTCTGGTGGTTTATTGGAGATAGGAGTCTCACAGTCTCTCTTGCCCGGGCTGGCTTTGAACCGCGATCCTCAGATCTCAGCCTCCTGAGTAGCTAGGATTACAGGCGTGAGCCACCAGCGCCCGGCTCAAAGAAACTCTTTACCTCTCTCCTACCCACTTAGCAGTGACAAAGAGGCAGCAGAATTGCTTAGAAAAGAGTTTAAGGAATGAGTTTCCTGTGAAATCTAGATTTGTGTGCAAATTCAGCTTTATTCCCATATTGAACTTGTCCCAATCATGCAGTGCTTTCAGAACTGAAAATAAGAAAACACAATCTGATGTATATTTTTACTTTTAGAATTTATTTCCTGCACAAAAACATACACATTAAACACCATTTAGCTATTCTAACTGTGTGAGAGTACCTACAAAAAGAAACAGGATCACATGAAATACATATGGTCACTATCATGCTGCTACTTAAGAATGCTTCCAATGGGGCTGGGAAGGTGGCTCAGTGGTAGAGCGCTTGCCTTGCATGCCTGAGGCCCTGGGTTCGATTCCTCAGCACCACATAAGAAAAAAGAAAAAAGCCAGAAGTGACACTGTGGCTCAAGTGGTAGAGGTCTAGCCTTGAGCTGAAGAGCTGAGGGACAGAGCCCAGGCCCAGAGTTCAGGCCCCACGACCGGACCCATTAAAAAAAAAAAAAAAAAAGAATGTTTCCAATGTATTCACTGAGCATCTACTAATGACCCACACTGATGGTCCCCCCACTCCCAGTCTAGATTGTGTGCTAAGGGAATACCAGCTGCTAATCATATATGCCAAGAATAAGGTAAGACACAAAAAGCCAAATACTGTATGTTTTTGCTTGTATATAG